TTCTTTGATGGTTGCATCGATACTGATGTTTAATTGAAGGTATTTCGAATACAACGGTGAAGTGCGAAAAGTTTCGATCAATATTCTCAAATCCTTCAATGAAAATGAAATATCATATTTATGTTCTACTATATTTGATATAAGACGCAACGTATCATTTTCTGCCCGCTGAGGATGTTGAATAATACTGTATAACGACATAATAACTGGTACAGGCGCATTTTTCAATAGATTAACAAACAAAAGGTCATTGCGCCGCTCCAGATTCAAATTTGCCTTCTCGTCACTCATAATCCAACTAAAACACTTAACAACACTTGTATTCAATGTATACAGAGCCTAGCATAAAAGACAGTTTCAATGTACATCATATAAACATCTTATGCGGGATACAAGTACTGTTATCATGTGGACAGTTTCTATAGCGCAGAAACATCAACCAGTCACATGACTTAGCAGGCATCGCAGAATAGCGGCATCTATCTCTTACATACTGATGGCGGAATCAAACAGATTACCTACTACCAGATGGTGACCTAAACTAGTCACAAAATAACAGAGAATTCGCAATCGATCCTTACCTAACCTAGATGGTGACCTAAACTAGTCACAAAATAACAGAGAATTCGTAATCGATCCTTACCTAACCTAGATGGTGACCTAAACTAGTCACAAAATAACAGAATTCGCAATCGATTCTGACTTGAACTAATACTAGAAAAAGATAAACATTGTAAGTCTGTAGCCAGTATAAAGACATGTCACATACCGAACAAAGAGTAAAGAATAACTCAGTTCGCCGCGGATGCGAATTGTCCATGATCTCGGTGGACCACCTTCGGTCCTAATTTCATCTAATGATGTTTCAACTAATTCATAGTTAATAATTAATGAATTGATCGAAGAAGCTCGAACTGTCCATCGAGTAGGACACAATAGTTTCAAGTTTGAATGATGATTTAGCTCCGCTAATTTATCTAATAAATGTAATCGTTTCAGAGACTTTTTCATAAAGTTGATAATGTCATTAGTTATATCCAAAGCAGATGCTACAGATGGCGCTTCACGAGTTACATCTTGTAATGCAAGATATAACGAATGTGCATTACAATGTACGTAATACGCTTTTGGATTCAACTTTTTAATTCTAGCAGAGACACCTGATAAGTGACCTGACATCGTCGAGGCACCATCAAATCCTTGTCCTCTACATAATTTAATATCTAAACCACATCGAATTAAAATGTCAAGTATGACTTCTGTAATATGTTGTGCATGTTGAGATGACAACTGGTAGAAACCAATAACATCTTCATGAACGATAAACTCGTTATCAACTGATCTAATTGTAAAACATAATTGTTCAAGTCCAGATTGGTCAGTTGTTTCGTCACATATTATACTATAAAATCGTCGATCTTTAATCTAAACGAAAGATTAATGAACAAATCGAATAAAGTTTCTTTCAAAAATAAATAATACTATTGACAGAGAACAGTTTAACGGCTAAACGTCGGTAAATAGGAAAACCATCAATCACTGTTTTCCATTGTTCTTTCAACTTATTAGTGAGATATTTCAGTCCGGAATGCTGATTACAGTGCGGATTAAGCATTGTGTCTTCCAACCCAAGGGAGGAAAAACAATAGTTATTCTTACCTCTTTAATTAATTCTCGAATAATGGTCAAAGATATGATTTCGCATATTTCATTTATTATATCATGAGATAAATAATTTCCTTCACGTATCCATGATGATAACTCATTGACGTCATTTTGTATTAGTTTTAATAGCTGAATTAAATTTCCTTCTACCTCAACATGACCACGTAAAGCTAAACCTTGATGTAGCAAATATTTAATAGATTGTATTTGTATTAATAGCATTTTTCGTCGTTGTGCCTGTTGGTTTTGATGTGCTAGACTAATTTGTGTTACCACTGGTGGCTTGTGTTGTTGTTTAACCAAATAGACACAATCAGCGTGGCTTTGACTACTTTCATGTTTTTCGAATTTTGCTAAACTATTTTTCCAATAATCAAATCCACGTACTGTGAATGAACATTCTCCCATTTTATTCGCCTGTGGATGATAGCCATTTTTATGAGCTGTACGACAATAAAAACAATAGACCTTTTCAGTAGTCTAAAAAAGAGAAAAGATCCCAATAAAATACTCCAAACTTTTTTTCCAAACTTTTCCAAAACTTTCGAGGCGAAAATAGTGGATCTATACATCGATGACTCGGCCGATTGTGGTGAAAACTGTGTTTTTTCGGCAAAAAAGGCATATTTCTGCAAAAAACTGGAATTTCGAAATAAAAATCCGTGAATCTATAGAGTTTTTTGTTGCGCGTTGAATGTTGAAACAATTAAGTCGCTATCTATTACAGAAAAAAACTTGATTCGATTGCCGTGGACGTTGGTGAGCAGTGTCTATCCCCTGAACCCCGAGGAATTTTGGACGATTTTTGCACTCACCAAAATTGTAAAAAGCACTTCAGCAGATGCAGTTTTTTACGGCACGTAAGAATAATTGACTTTGAAGGTTGTGTAGTGCGACCAGGCTAGGCTATAAAGCGGTTTTCCAAAACAACGTTTTTTGCCTAAAAATCGCGGTTTTTTCGAATTTTTATGTTTTCTCAGGGAAAACGTAAAGTAATCAAATTTTAAAGGTGATATTCGTGATCAGCGCCAAATTCTGCGTCGAGTGATGTATCTTACAAACGAATTCACAAATAGTGCTTGATCTTTGAATTTGGAGCGCCTTACATATTTTGGATTGAAATTGGGTAAATAGAGTGTTGTTTATTCTTCATAACAGAGAAGAATAGCAGCAGTTTTTGTGACTAGAGCACTCTTTTGGCCTGAAACACAATGAAAAGGAAAACTTTAAATAGCAAACTATTCTTTTAGAACGCTTTGGTCAATTTTGATTCTCTTCAGTTAGAAGTTCTAATTGTAGAAAAATCCAACGTTACTTTGAGAGATAAGTTTTACAAAAACAAAGAACAAAACACTGACTCTAAAATTGAATACATAGGCACGATTCTTTCTCCTTTTCTAGGTCATTTAATCTTTTCTCCTACGGAAGAAGTTTCGGGTTCATTACAACGTATTGATAATTGTTTACAAGATGTTTTATGTGCAATCAAAACGTTAACAAGATATTTAGAGAGAATTAAATGTGTTCAATATTTTAAAACATTTTATGAATTAGTGTTGAAAGAAGCTGAACCGTTGACACAAGAACCTAAATTACCACGTGTTAGACGACCACCTAAAAGATTTGCTGATACATTACAAGCATCGGTAGTTCATCAAATATCTACGACATGTATCAAGAGCAATATTTTAATGTTATCAATAAAATCTTAAATGCATTAGATTTACGTTTTCAACAATCGGTTTTTCCATTGTTATGTAAAGTTGAAAAATTTATTCTTGCAGCAGCAAATGGCACAAAAGAAGAAGCTGATGATTTAAATATTGAAAATATTATTGAATTTTTAACTGATAATATTAACATTTCTCATTTACAACGTGAAATGAACATGTTAACTGATTATTTATTGATTATTAACTTAGAAAATAATTTCGGGATAAGAAAGATTTCAAAAATTCAAACTATTTGTGATCTACTCAATGTACAATCTGTTGGAAAAGCTATGTTCTGTGAATTTAGTACACTGATACGTTTATATTTAACCATTCCCGTAACAACGGCTACAGCGGAAAGGTCCTTTAGTGTTATGAATCGAATAAAGACATATCTACGATCAAGCATGACACAACAACGTTTAAACCATGTCATTATTCCTCATATTCATACAGAAAAATTAGACAAACTGGACTTGAACAACATTTGTTCTGATTTTATTTTAAAAACCACAGTAGAAAAGCTTTTTTTGGTCGTGAATAGTGTTGTTTAGCTTTGCTTGTTCTATTCACTTCAGATTAGGTATAAGGTCTTTATGTTCGTGTTGATCATGTACTAGTAAAGTTAATTTTATAATAAAATTTTTCTTTATCTTACAAGTTCTGACATGAGGAAACGTCGAAATATGTTTCCAATGGAGCGAGGATTACAAAACTAGAAACTTGTCTTTCTCTTGTTTTATTTTGTCTCTCATCATCATCTGAAAAAAAATTTTGAGCCTCCCCTAGACTGAAATCGTTCCGCCGCCACTGATGGGCAATGACAACACAAGAATTGATGATTAACCAAAACGCACGAGGCCGATGCATGATAATATAAATCATTCTTCTGACGAAGAATCGAACCATACATGAACATTCCATCACGTCGGGTACACAC